AATAGTCTCCTTCACGGATACCTGCGCCATCTTGAAAGGTAGCCGTGCCTTTGCACCGAAGCGAGACGACCGTTGAGCGTGCAATGATAGATACCTGTGAATAATTGTCTATAGGTGTGAAAGAAGGTTTCTATCATTGCACGCTCAACCGTTGTCTCGCTTCGATGACAAGGTACGGCTACCTTTCAAGATGGCGCAGGTAACCGTGAAGGAGACTATTAGTTTTATATATTAAGAACCTGTTCAGGCTACGTCCTAAAAATGTAGTTTCTTATTTGTTGGTTTTTAATGTACATGTGTTTTCCAATAAGGTATGATTATTTTGGTTCATTATGCGAGCTTCTGCCAGCTGCAATCCCCTCTCTCGCTGTTTGTTTGACAGCTATCAGAAAAGGTAAGTCCACACAATCAATGAACCTGATCAAAAGACCGTATGCATTGCATCACTTGACTATCACACTGGTGGAGTCTGTGCACGTTTTCGTGAGAGCAAGAAGAGTTATCCTGAGCATTTTTTATTATTATTAGTAGCTGTGCCGTTTCTTTAAAGGGACACTGTCGATGGCACGCATGCGCGAGTAAACTTGAAAAGATTAGACTAATGTTTTCAAGTTTACAACTCCAAGTTGACGCATGACAAAAAAGTACTCGTAAACGTAAACAGATCTAGAATATTCCAGTCAAAACAGTCTGTCAAAACATTGATTTACCACGAAGGTAATACTTTCAAAGTCCGTTAGAGGCAAGACTGTTACTGCGCATGTTATCCATTGACAGTGTCCCTTTAATGAAAACAGAATTGACTATCTTAATATGTCTGAACGTACAAAAACTGAATGTTTGTTCTTGGGCAAGCTCAATTTGTCTTCTACAAATAAAAACTCTTTTAATGTGAGATTTGTGCCACCACTGTTCTAGGTCATTTGTTCCCTGAACTCCCCGCAACAAAGTCACCAATTTTTGCTTTTCATTTCATTGTGACAGGGTATATCGATGATAACGTAGTGGCTGAAGTATCGAACGTCCTTGGATTTAAAAAACCAATCAACATCAACGATGACTACGCTTTAAGGTATCAGTATAGACTAGTAATAATTTTGGTGGAAAACTAACGGTAAACTAGTGTGAGCTGCGTCGGCTTGTTTCTAAAGAAACAGTTGTGTAAAAAGATAAATTTAATACCGTAAAAAAAAAAAAAAAAAAAAAAAAAAAAAAAAAAAAAAAAAAAAAAAAAAACAGGTGAAACAACTTACTGACGTTTCGGACGTTAATCCTTCGTCGGAGTAAAGGGAAGAGACTAGAATAAGCGAATAAATCTCCCGTTGGTCAATCTCATTATCATTGAGGGATCCCTGTGTAATATGGAAATTTCTCTCTACGTCACAGGCCTAGTGAATGTCAAGCTAACTTTCCTGGAAATGACGTTTACAAGGTAGTGTGTGACCTGAGTATGGCGTTACATAAGCTGGGCCTCGCTACGGACACGTACGTAAACAATCTATGAGGGTGTGACACGTTACAGAACTGTATATTTATAGACGTTATGGTGGACTATCATCTGCATAACTTTGTCTTCTTTCAAGCAATTGAAGTTAAACTTGATAAACTCCATCATTTACCTATACCATGATA